GCTTCTGTTTCCTGGCTCCTTGGAGAGTTCTATGTGGCTCGCCATGTGCTTGCTTGTACAATAATCTTCTTTTTATCTCAAAAACCACTGACTCGACACACCCTACACTCTTCCCGCCCCAGCAGCATAACAAAGACAACCTAGTCCGAAGACCACAGGTTCCCTCTCGCTCGCCGTCCCACTGCCCCCCCATCACGTCCCGGGTCTTTCACAGTGCACGCTGGGTTTTGTAGTTCCGGGAGTGCGAAGCCCTGCGCACACCTCCCCCACCACGGCGACTTCCTCACTCACCAGTCCGCTGTCGCTCCCGGAAGCTGAGGGACTTAAAGTTTCAACGCTTCCTCTGCACGCCTCTTAGTCCCGCAGATTGTCAATGCAAGCAGCCAATAGGTGGCCTGACTGGAGCTTCCTATTAGATGATTGGCTTAGAGTTTTGCAGTCGCCCAGACTAACTTGTCGGGGATTGGCCGAGCCTTCGGTTTTGAAAATCGTAGGTTCCGCCCGCGCTACCCGGCCCTGTTGCTTCTCCCGAACTGCGAGCCTGGAGCCCCGGCGCCGAGCGGGTCTGGGTGGATAGGGGGCTGGCTAGGGAGTCCGTCGGAGTTGGATCGCAGCAGCACATAGGAGTCGCAGGAAAGTCAAGTGAGTGCGTGCGGACAGCCGGCGGGGTGGAGATGCTTGGCGGTGTGTGACCCCTCCCCGCCGACTCCGGACCGTGGGCGTGCCCCCCTTCCCCCAGCCGCTTGAGGCTCCAGGAACATAGGGTTTTCTCTTCCAAGTGGCGAGGTGACCTGCCTTGGTCCCGGGGCCTGAGAAGACCTACCCCTTCCACCGAGATCCTAGGTTCCAAGAGAATACCTGCACCCCGTCCCCTTTCTTCCTCTCCACCTCCTCCCCGCCTGACACCTATTGTGCCTAGAAGGTCATCGGTACACTAGGCGCTGGTACTCTGGGTCTGTGCACGGGCTTGGACGCGCAGGAACCTTGAAACCGACTGGGTGGTTTGGCGGATCTGGCCATCTGCAGTTTTTGCACAGTTCCCGCTCCCTCACCTCTACAGCTGAGTAGCGTTTTAAACTGACGGTTTCCGGGGCCGATGCTCCCTCTTTCATGTCAATCGGCCAGCGCGCTAGCTGTCAGCAGTTCAGTTCCAGTCAGCCACCCTGGGCTTCGGATAGGGGGTGCGCAGAGACCAGACGAGGCGCCTGCCTTTCAGACCCTGAAGTCTAGGAGGCGGTATAGTTACTGGTTCACAATTTAAATCCAGGCTGCACCCTTGACTTGCTGGTGACGTTGGTTTAACCTCCTTTTGCCTCGGTTTCCTGATCTGTACGTGGGTTTCCGCGAGGTTGTAACGAGAATCGATGCCGGGCTCGGGCATGGAGTGGTTAGGTGCTGTCGGGTTGTTCTGTGTACTACGAAACCAAACACTGCCTGGTTCTGGTCCATCCTCGTGGGAGCAGCTTATGCAGCGGTGTGCACTGAAGTGTGGGAGGGGGTTAGATACCCAGCTTCCTGCATCCTGTGACCTGGCGAGGCAGAGGAGGGCGGTGGGAGCCTGATCGGTGTGTGGTGTGACCAGGGATCACAGACTAGCTTCCTGCCTCCCTTGGTGGGGTGTTTGGGTGCTGGCTGTTGGGCGCTGGTACTCGGTCTAAGCACGGGCTCTTAGAGGGGCTAGAGATGCTTTTTTTTTTTTTTTTTCCTGCTCTTGCAAGGAGCACAATTTTTGGTACACTGGGTCTTCTTTTCTCAGAGTCAACTCTGTTTTAACTTAAGGCGACCCTTTTTAAATGGCCAAGCTGAGGTCTGCTAAAAACAGCCTTTCCCATCCAAGAAGCCCAAACGCTCATTGGACTTTGTGAAGAAAGCTCCCTTCCACATTGCTATTTCCAACACATAACGTTAAAAAAAAAAAAATCCTAGTAAGTTATTTTCCATAGCTCCTCTGTGAACCTTTGTTTTAACTTCAGTTTCCTTAAACAGTGTTCTCTTTCCTGACCTTGAACTGGGGTCGTGCATTTTGTGGGGACTGTGCTCTGAGGGCAGAGGGACTGGAGGAGGAGGAGGGTGGCAGTGGAGAGGGCCATGCCCATCACTGGTTGGCTGCAGAGCAGAGACCTCTGCCCAAAGCCTCTGGGATTCTGCCCATGTGACCCTGCCCTGACTCACACTGCTCTTGCCCTGGTGCTGGGTCTTTAGAGGTGGATGGCGTGTCCTGACCTGTTCAGAATGGGCACGGTTAGTGTCCCTGTGTGTGTGTGTGTGTGTGTGTGTGCTTACCTGTAGGATGTTTATTTCTAGGTTCAGAGTCTCCAGGTGAATTCATTCATGAAGTATTTCTTACATGTGAGGCACGGCGCCTGGCTTTTGGTGATGAACAAAACAGACAAGGGCTTTGCCCTCGGGGAGCACATATTTTGTGGGCAGAGACAGGCAGTAAGCAAACAGATCAACAGTAACCCAGATGTCACGTGGAGCATTGGAATAAAGAGATGGGATCATGGCGGGGGACTCTGAGGAGCTGAAGACCAGGTGAAGAGGAGTGAGCTGTACAAAGCAGGGCAGGCTCCGGGCTGAGGGCAGAGTTTGTTGGAGGAACGATGGCTAGGTGCCTAGAGCAGAGGCAGCGGGGAGATAGTCCAGAGGAAGTCCCATGAGGCTGCACCCCGACCTGGCGTCAGGCTCTAGGAAGGACCACGGTGTCAGCGGCTTAGCCCTTTCCAGGACCTTCTCTCTTAGGTGGGGAGGCTGAGTGGTTCATGGTCCTTCTCAGTTTCGAAGGTATGGTCCCTGCCATGACATGAGACACACTCTCCACTATTATGGCTAACGACTGACCGACCACTCACCCGTTCATTTATCTTTCGTTTTGCAAAGAGGGCACGGGAGGTGGCTTCTGAGCTCCCCTAACTTCAAGACGGAGAGAGAGGATCCACACCAACAGCCCAGGGCTCATTCCTATGAGGTCAGACATGCTGCCTCCAACCTTTTGGCCAATTCTGACACCAACCCTCCCTCCCAACTCTCTACTTCTCTCCTGTTGTTGTTGTTGTTAGGTGCTGTCGAGTCGGACCCAACTCATAGCAACCCCTCCTTGGGTTTCTGAGGTGGTATCACTACGGAAGTAGATTGCCCAACCTTCCTTCCAAAGAATGGCTGGTACATTTGAACCGCCAGCCTTCTGGTTAGCAGTCAAGAGCCTTAGGCACTACGCTACCAGAGCTCCTACTTCTCTCCTAGGTTTGAGAATTCATTACAGTGGCCACACAGAAGTCACAGACAGTCACTCATGATTATGGGATTTGTTTGGGAATTAACAGGTTCAGGTTAAGGAACACTCAGGATGCAGTTCTTCCATCCGGACAGCCTCCCCCCAGCCATGCCCAAAGGCACACCTCTCATTGGCCTTCAGCCCCTCGGCCTGGCCTCAGCAATGCTCCGGCAAGTGTAACAAAGCTCTTTTAGCTCTGCCGATAGGCGCCCAGAGAAGCACCTCGCTTCATAGCAAGCCTTCCGCCCAAAGGCGCTAAGCTTTCTGTCTGTGGGCTGAGAAGCCTGCCGCTCTGTCTCATGCCGGTCTCTTGGTTCTGCCGTCTCTGCCGCCACCATCTCTCTGCAGCCTCTCTGCCGTCTCAGCAGTGTTGCGGCTCTCTCTTTCTCTCCTGGGTCAAGGAGGTTCAGCTCAGGATATTGGATCCAAGGATGCGCTCACTCGTGGTTCTTCTTTCTTGATGGTAGTGAGATTTCCCCCTTTTCTGCCTCTGAGATGGCTCATTTTAAGCCTAGCAAGGTGGCAAAAACTGACCATCCCAACAAGGGTGTCATGTACCTTATTTACATTATTAGCAAGCTGCCCAATCCCCTTGGTGGGCATAAGCACCTCACATCTGCAAAGTCCCACCCATTCATCTGGTGGGAGTCACAGAGACCATGGCTAAAAGAGCCATATTAAGTGATTCACTGCACCACACATTCATTCACACACTTGGGATAGCTGTTGTGCTTCAGCTTAGTTTGATGGATGCCCTCTCCTTACCTGGGCTACTGTGTGATGCTTTTAGAATGAAGTCTTAAGGGGAATACCCAAACTTTTTAAGAAATAAATAGAAAATTGGTTTTATGCTTTCCCCTGTCTAATATTTGTAGACAAATTTGCTCATAAATAAGATATTGCTTATCCCCTCCCCCCTGTTCTTCCTCTGTTTCCAGGGCATTTCAGCCCAAGGGAGAGGTTGCTAGAGGGTCCTCGGAGAGGAGCAAGTCTCTGGACCCCCATTTCCTACCTGATTCCTTTGAAATGCAGACCTTCATCTGTTCACTGGCCTCTTAAGGGCAGTTGGATTTGATGTTCTTTGGCCTGATGTCTGGGGTCAGGTTGTGTGTAGCTACAGGGTAGCAGGGTCTCAGCCCTTACTCACCTGGTCCAGCGAGACTACAGGATTGTAAGAGGAGGCCTGTGCTTGGGCGGGTGGAGAGGCCTCTTGTGGTCACTGGTTCCTCTGTCGCAGAAAGGCCGTTGGCACAGCCCTGTCCCCTTAGCTTTTTTCCTTCGCTCCTCTGCAAACCTTTGTTTTGGTTGTGTCTTCCCTAAACAGTGTCCTCTTTGGGTGAGGCCTCTGCTAGGCTGGGCAGCCACCTGCAGTCATGGGCATGGCCCTCTCCACTGCCGTTGGTATAATGGGAAGAAAAGGCCATTTGTGTAAGGGGAACCATTGACAACAAAGTGGATGGGGAAGTGTGGGCTTATGGGGACAGCTGAGCTGTGGGTGTGTATGTGGTGCAGGGGGAGTATCTGAGAAGAGTGTGTGTGCGGGGAAGCTCCTCTTTTGCAAAGCTGAGGACAGCAGATCGGTTGGTTTTCTGAGTCTGCGGGGAGTGGATATTTTGTGGTGGTGGCAGGTGGGTGCCGCAGGGGCCTGGCAGACTCTTCCCTTGGAGAAGGCCTGAGCCCTGAGCCCTTGTGACTCTCGTCCTTGCCTTCACCAGTCCAAGCTGCCATGGGGACCGGCCCAGGACCCATTCACCTGCTGGAGCTGTGTGAGCAGAAGCTCATGGAGTTTGTGTGCAACGTGGACAACAAGGACATGGTATGGCTGGAGGAGATCGAGGAGGAGGCGGAACGCATGTTTACCAGGTGAGGGCAGGGGCCCCGCTCTCCCACCTGATGGGCAGGGCCGAAGGCCCATCCCTCCTGGGTGCCTAGTGTGCTGGGGCCCTGCCCCGGTTTAGTGGGAAGAGGGAGGAGCAGGGGAGCCAGCTGCCTGGCAGCCAGCCGATTGTCCCTCCAGGGTCAGGACACCAGCACCTGTTGCTGGAGGGCAAACGGCCGGCTGACGGGAGACCCTGGTGGCCGTAGGAGGAAGTGCAGGCGCTCTGCTCTCTCCTTGCTCCTGGCGCCGCCCCCCTTTCCCTTTGCCCACCCTTTTCCTGCAGAGCCCGCTGGTGCTGCCTCCTTCCTCCCTCTTGGGCACCTGGTCTCACCCAGGGGCAGTCTAGGGTGGACCTGGGCTGGGGAGGGAGGGGGGTGGGGGTCGTCTAGCCTCTACCTCGACTTCCTTTCTGCTCCTGCCAGCAGTGCCCAGGGCACCCCTGCTCTTCCGGCCTCTCATTGGACCCCCTTCCCTTCTTGCTGGCGGCCTTCAGATCCTCTGCCTTGTTCTTCTAGGTCTGGGGGCGACGGGTGTGTCTGACTTTCCTGATTCTGTGCCCGTGGCTCTGGGGGCTGAGCTGGGACTCAGGCGGGGGGGGGGGGCTGGCTGAAGCTTGCCTGGAAGTGTGTCTGCAGGAGGCACCCCGAGTGCAGGGCAGGTGACTTGCACGTGGCAGCCGAGAGCTCGTCTGGTGGCAGTCGCCCCAGCTGGGCTGTCTCAGTCAGGAAGTGGTGGGGGCCAGGCCAAGTGGGAGAGGGGCTAGCGGTTGCCAGTCGACTGCCAACATCACCCTTCTTGTACCAAGCAGAGAATTCAGCAAAGAGCCCGAGCTGATGCCCAAAACGCCTTCTCAGAAGAACCGAAGGAAGAAGAGACGGGTGTCTTCTATTCAGGATGAGAACAGAGACCCAATTCGGAAAAGGTAGGAGGAACCGGAGGCTACCCTCACTGAGGGGCCAGCTGGGCAGGTGGGGGTCCCCCGAGGTTTGGTGCCCACTGAGTGGATTTGGTTCTGCAGGAGGTAACTGGGAGCCTGCCGACAGGAGTAGCCCCCCGTGAGAGTGGGGTGGCTGTGGTGTCATGGCGTCACGCTGAGGGGCAAGGTGCTGGTGGGGGATTTGAAAGCATGACCCGGGACCATGGGGTCAAAGTGTGACTGTAGCGTATTGTATGCGTGTGCATGTGTGTTGGGGATGGGGCGTGTTTGATCTGAGCTTCGGAAGATGGAAAGGATTTCCAGAGGGGAGAGGGGACAGGGTGAGAGTGAGCAGCGATGGACCAGGTGGTCTGTTCCCAGACCCTCTCTGGCCCCTGATAGGAACGGCCCTGGGCTGGCTGCAGAGCATGGAGGCAAAGAGGCTGGATCCTGGGTCCAGGCAGCCCTGGTATAAATGCCAGCTCTGCCCTCAGCAGCTGTGTGCCCTGTCCTTATTCTCCCCGTGTCTGAGCCTCAGTTTCCTCTGGAGTAGGATAACGATACCTGCCTCTCAGGGCCGTCTTGTGAATTGGGAGAGCCACGTGTGGAGCCCCACTGGGCTGCTTGGCACAGTGTGACCTCAGTAACTGGGAACCGTCTCGGGACAGTCCTTTCACTTGTATAAATTCAGTCTCCCCAGCAGGACTGGTGTTATCCCCAGTTCACGGGCAGGAAGACTAGGGCTCAGATAGGAAGGGCTCAGGGTCACATGGCTGGAGGTGGCAGAGCCTGGACTAAACCCAGATCCTCAGCCTTCAGGCATTCCTGGCTTAGTGGGTGGTTTGTGGGAAGACTGGGGTAGCCCACCTCCATTGTGGGGCGTCCCAGCCCTGCTGGAAGCCCTGGTGGCACAGCGAAAGGTCGGTGGTTTGAACCCACCAGTGCCTCCAAGGGAGAAAAGAGCTGGCGATGTGCTCTTGTAAAGATTACAGCCTAGGCAGACAATGTTTCTAAAGTGTATTTGAATGTTCTGTAAGAATGTCCAGGTGTATAGTAGAGCTGGCAAGGGACAAGGTTGTGGTGACTTCTTGGCCCAGAGGGAGTAAGTAGTTGGACCTGTGGGCTCTGGACCATGGTCACAGGGGACATCAAGCTCAGTTGACATAACATACTACAAAAAACATGGTTTCACATCCTACTTTGGTGAGTAGCCACTGGGATCTTAAAAGCTTGCAAGTAACCACCTAGATGCAACAGTGGGTCTTCTAGAGCAAAGAAGAATAAAAAAAAAAAACAAAGATGCATGGAAACAATTAGTCAAAGGGACTGGTAACACCATGTGATCCTCAGCCTACATGACTATGAGACCAGAAGAACTAGATGGTGCCCAGCTACCACTGTCAACCACTCGGATGCAGATCTGTGTAGGAGTTCCTGGATAGAGTAGGAGAACAATGTGGGACAAAACTCAAAATTAAAAAAAAAAAAGACCAGGTTTGCTGGTCTGATGGAGCCTGGTGAGACCCCTGAGTCTGCGACCCTCAGCTGCCCTTCAGGTCTAGAACTGAAATCACTCCTGTGGCTTCCAGCCAAACTATAGACAGGCCCATGGGGTGAGCGCTTACAACAGGTAGATACACTCCTTGGAAGGATCAATCATGGGAGATAGAAAGGCTGTGTGTGCACAGGGGGACAGCTCGGGGCAGGAGCACATGGGATGGAAGGACACAGGGAAGAGGTAACTATGGGGAGGAAATGGGAAGAGAGGTGGGGAATTACAGTCAATGTCATGAGACAAAATGTAAGAAAAAAAAAAGATTGCAGCCTGGGAGACCCTCTGGGGCGGGTCTCCTGTGACGTGGGAATCGGTGTGTCAGCATCCGGCCCCACTGCCTGTCCCACTGGCTGCCGCCTCACCTCTGCTCCGCTGCCTCCGACAGGTTGTCCCGCAGGAGGACGCGGAGCAGCCAGCTGGGCTCCCGGCACCTCCGCAGCAGGGACAAGCTGGAGAAGCTGGCCACGGTGGTCGGAGAAAATGGCTCCGTCCTGCGGCGGGTGACCCGTGCTACCGCTGCTGCCATGGCGACCGCACCCTCGGCGGCTCCCTCACCTGCTCCCGAGTCCCCCGCGGCACCGACCAAGAAGCCTGCGAGCAGCCCTGCCCAGAGCGAGCTGGTGCCTTTGGTGGCGATCGGCGTCGGGGAGCGCCAGAGTGCCGAGCAGCACCTCACCCAGCTCCAGTCTGCCCAGGCTCCGTCGCAGGCTCCTGCCTCTCAGGGTACCCCGGCCTCGCACGGGGACTCGACGCCCAAGAAGTCAGAGGCCGAGAGACTGGAGTCTGTTACTGTGAGCTCCCTGATGGCGACCCCCCAGGGCCCCAAGGGCCAAGGGGCCGGGGCAGGACGATCCGCGTCCAAGCTCAGGATCGCACAGGCCTCCGCCATCCCGCCCGACTCGCCTGGCTCTCCGGACTCTCCGTGGCAGAAGCGGGTGCTGGCTCCCATCCTGCCAGATAACTTCTCCACGCCAGCGGGCTCCCGCCCGAACCTGCGGTCCGTGCGCTGCAGCCTGATCGCCCCAGGTCCCCAGGCCTTGCTGGCCCATAAGGACCCCCTGGAGGCTAAGCCAGAGGACGCCGTCCGCAGGTCTAGCAGAAGGATTGCCAACAAGGCTGCCAGGGAACCCGCTGCCTCCTCCCGTATCATCTGTGAGTCCGGGGGCTCAGCAGTGGGTGGGGGGTGCTGAGGGGGGGCTTTGCTGCCTTGCTCGGCCAGGAGGTTCTGGGGGTCCTGTAGCAAGGAGCTCTCCAACAGAACACCCTGTGGTGACGGCAGTGGTGTGCGTCAGTGCCGTCCTGCGCAGTAGCCACGTGTGGCTGCTGAGCCCGCGAAACGTGACTGATTTGACTGAGCAGCTGGTTTTTAACTTTACTAACTTTTACATTTGAATATGTAGCTAGTGGTATCGGATTGGACAGTGCCCATCTAGTCTAGAACTTTTGGTTTACAGATGAGCAGACAGTTCCCAGGGAGATTGGCCACGCCCCAGCGGCCGTGCGGTTAATGGTGGTGTAGAGGCTCGAACCTGGGTCTTTGGACTCAAGACCACCATGCTCTTCTGCTCACTTACCTTTCCCTGTTGTGGGCTACCTCCTGTCAGCAAGTCAGTTTGATCTGGAGACACAGAGGGAAGAGAGCCGAGTTCTTATCGCAGAGGGCGCTCGGGGGATGCAGGGGGCTGGGGATCTGATGAGAGGCAGGGGGACCCCAGAGTTGGCAGCCTGGGTGCAACCCCAGCTCGGCCGTTGGCTTGCTCTGTGATCTCCGGCAGGCTGTGGAAACTTCATGAGCCTCAATTCCTCACCTGTTGACTGGGGATAATAATAGCCTCGCAGCAGGGACCCTGGGGAGGTGTCTTTGGTTGAGTCATGTGGGGAGCTTCAACAGGGCCTGGCACGTAGGAGGCACTCGGTGACGCCAACTGGCTGTATCATTGTCAGGCCCCAGCTCAGGAGCCCATTGCCACAGTGGGAACAGTGTGTCGGGAGCCAGGGGGCGGGGTGATGACTCTGGAGTCAGGGCCGATGGTGTGGAGGGCTGGGGTCTGAGGTGTGGGAGGTTTGCAAGGATGCCCGGGCTTTTGCCAGGTGAAAAAATGTAGGGAAGGTATCTTTGTGGAGGGAACGGCTTGTGCAGAGACCCAGAGGCACAAGTAATGGGGTGCTGGGGCCCCCTGGGGAGCTTGGACTCCATCCCACTAAAGCTGAGGTTGTGGTCTAGTGACAAGTGTCAGAAGGGCCCTGGCAACGTGTGGTAAATGGCCGAAGGGAGGGGAGGGGAGGGGAGGCGGCAGGGGGACCAGGGAGAAGCTGCTGTCGGTGTCCTGGCCAGAGGGCGGTGCAGGCAGCGGGCGATGTGGATGGAACAGAATCCACACCCGCCTGCGCTCTGCGACTTCTGAACTGCGGGGATCTGACTGGGTCCTGGCAGTGAAGCTGCGCATTGGTTAGGACGTTCCCACTTCACGCAGGAGGAGACAGAGGAGGGGCTGCCGCGTGCCAGCTGGGGAGCTGGGGCTTGAACCTGCGTGGTTCACCCTGTCCCGGGAGGCAGGCTGCTTGTTGGGGAGCCTCAGGGAAAGCCCGGGGGGTGGGGCCTGTTGGGCAGGTGAGGGCACTCGCCTTGGCAGGTTTCTCCCTGCCCTCTGCCGAGTCACACCGCCTGGGAAGGCTTGTGGCCTGTGCTGGGGCCCGGGAAGTCGCAGCCTGGGGCGTGTGCAGGGGT